CTTTGTTGCTAAAGAAGAGGCAACAGCTCTTGGTGAGGGTTGGGAGGAGCACAAGCTTACACACCAGTATATTGTTGGAAAGAAAACAGGTGTCACTCCTTGGGGAAAAACGATGTGGCAAATCAGCAGGCAGCCACGCAGCCGCTCACGAAGGGAAGGGAACAGAACGCCGCATGCGGAGCAGGGCGCAGGGGGAAAGGTGAGCAACCCATAATGCTTTCGACGGGAGGAGGAAGAAGCACGCGTGTTGAGTGAGCAGGAAGGCCACAGGCACTGGGGGAAGCAATAGGAATGGAGGGGAAAAGGAAAGGTGTATGGGTTCCTGTAACACCAGGCAAAATAAAGCAAACTAGGAAACGAATGAAGAAATTTTGTAGCTGTTGTAGAGGAGGAAATACGAAAGGAAACAGGAATGTCTCCTTCAGTGGGAGAATACTCCAGGAGAACTGATGTACCCAGTGAAAAGTGGAGAGAGCACATGGAACAAATTCCACAGGGATCACCCTTTTCCCTAGCAGTCCTTGCATGCAACCAAGCTGCAGAGTTAGTGGTCTGATACCTTAGAGATGAAGATGCCTTCATCAGTGGGATCAAATGGATTTCCAGCATGACCTTTTGCTCCACCTCGGATGCTGATGCCCAGCTTTTCTCCTGGAGCCTTCTCAATGCATATTTCCTGTGAACACAGAAAAGGAGTTTCTGGTCAAGTTCAGGCTGGAATTATCAAGGAAACACTCCTAGTAGCTAGCCATATTCTAAATACCCCGAAAAGGACCTGAACTAGACCTATCACTCAGTTGGCACAGTTTATTCTTTCGATGAGGCTCTGCTCTTGTCTGTACTTCTGTCTCCTGTTCAAGTCCGGTCTTCATGAAATCTGATCATTCTCTGATCACAGTATCACCACAGGCACGGCAAGAGACCCTCCACAGCCCTCAACTGGATACAAGAGACTGGATTCAGTCACAAGAGAAGAGCATTTCAACCAGAAGTTTGCTTGTATCCTAGTCCCAGGCTTCCAGCTAGGTAAGAAATTGCCCTCAAAAGTGATCTTTCTATAAAGAAGAGAGCGATTCCCCCAGTTCTCCTACTCGGGACCTACCTGCATACCAGGTGGTGGTGGATCTCGCCTTACTAACATCGTCAGCTCCTGGGTGTTGGAGAGCAGGGCATTCACTGCCTCCTGGTGGGTAGCATGGCGCAGGTCAATACTATTTACTTCCAGGATCCTGTCCCCTACACGGAGCCCACTGCGAGATGCCAGTCCACGGGGAATGACCTACAAAGAACCATTAATGTTAGAGCTAGAGAAGGAAATGCCATCTCTCCTCAGAGAGACACTAGTTGTGTCTCTAGGCTCTCTGCCAGCGTCCTCTGAGGCCTGTTTTGACTTCTCTCCCTGCAACTAGAGTTCCACAGGAGGTAATGTATCTGTGAACAATGGCAAAGAATGAAGTAAGAGTTGCTTTAAAGTGTCATTTGGTGTGTTCTTATATTCTCATTTTACCATTTTCCTCGGAACCAGGCTGTGTCAGCTTTTCCACTATTTTGCCTGTGACTGTAACCAGAAGATAGCTTTCTCACAAGAACTCTGAAGGAACTCAAGTGTTAACTGCAGGACTGTCCTTGAAAGTGCATCACCTGCCATTAAAAATGGCCACTGTACCAGGACTGACAGCGTCAGCACAAATCCAGTCCTCAGGAAGGGCTCTAGAAGGGATCTTGAGATCCACTGACCAAGAAACTTAACTTCTATTCCCAGTAAAGCAATCAAGTCAAGAAAGAGTCAGATCTGTGAGCACGTGGATAAGCAGGGTTTGTTGGG